TGTTGATGTTGATGTTGATGTTGATGTTGATGTTGATGTTGATGTTGATGTTGATGTTGATGTTGATGTTGATGTTGATGTTGATGTTGATGTTGATGTTGATGTTGATGTTGATGTTGATGTTGATGTTGATGTTGATGTTGATGTTGATGTTGTTGATGTTGGTGTTGGTGTTGGTGTTGGTGTTGGTGTTGATGTTGATACGCCAGTATTTTTTTTTCTTAGACGTCCCAATTTAACTTTTTTATTTTCAAGTTGACTAATTGACAATGATGATGCGCCGGTATCCTTTTTTTTGGGGCGTCCCAATTTAACTTTTTTAGTTTTCGATGATGATGCGTCTGTATCATTGTTTCTTGGACGTCCTCTTTTTTTAGGAACTTCTGGTTCAACCGTAGCAACAACTTCGTTATTATTGTTGCCGAGCAATTTTTTCTTTTTTCTCTTTAGACGGCGTTCTCTAGTTTTTTTATCTGGCAAGAAATCATCATCGACTTCCATATTTCCATATTCATAACATTGAACAATATTTATTAATGGATCCCAGCAAAGTTGAGATTCCAGAGGCTGTACCGCCTCTAGTTCAATTTTTTCATCATCTGATAATTGAAGCTTATTATCTGATGCAAATTTTTTAAATGCTTCCAATGAGAAATACCGGTAGCGCCTTATTCTTCCTTCAAATTCAGAAGCACGCCTAATTGCAAAATGTTGCATCGATTTTGGTGGTGGTTTAATAAGCCGGTCCAAAATTTTAGAAAGGTAACGATTATTAATTTTATCAAGAGTTTTTTGAATTGCCTAAATAATATTATGTATGTATGTATGAATATGTATATATATATATATATTGATAATTATTAACAACAGATTATATATTTTTTTTTGAAAAGGTTAGCTTAATAATTTCTGAACTAACAGCAGCAGTTATTCCTTGGTTTCCAGCGTATTGGATCAATTGATAAACTTGATAATCCAAAGGTAATTCAGTTAGCATTCCAGGTATTAATTTTTGTAAACTTATTTGCAATTTTGAAGAATTTTTTTCGGTGGTTGTCAAAGCAAGCTTCTTTCCTTTATCTTGTTAGAAACACATGCGTTATTACAAAATTATATATTAACATGCTCTATAAATTAAATTAAATAAAGATACAAACCCAAATCAGATTCTTTAATTTTTTCATATAATTTGATGAGTCTAAAACACCGTTCCATTTGTTTGAATGCATTTTTTTTTGGGACATGTATTTTTTCAATAAATCCTTGGGCAGTTAAAATTCCCGTTGTTCGATTAAAAAATCGACGTTGTTTCCTGGTTGGATTATGAACTCCATACTTGAATAATTAAATGGAAAATAATTTAAAACGAATTTATAATAATTAAACAACAATGATTGTAAATTTAAAATGGAAAAAAAAACTAACCAACATCATCATTAAATCTGTTGCCAACATAACTTTATTTTTAGCCTTGCTTAAAATTTCAGTCATTCTTATCCTTATTAATTCAGAATTGAAAGATACACCGCAACTTATTTTATCAGTCGGATCAAAGGTAAACGCTGGTTCACCCGGTTTCAAATTTGCGATTGTTTTTCTTGAGGGCAAATAAACAGTTTTTCCTGAATAAGCAGGATTTTGTGATGCACACCTTTTTAAAATGCAAAGATTTGTATGTATCCCTTTTGTAACGACTGGAAGTTTAACACTTGATCATAACAATGACAAAAATTTTTGATTAGAATTATCTATAAATTCTACAAGGAAAAAAATTTTTTTTTTAAATCAACTTACATCAATCCATAATTACAAAGAGTTTTTAAATAATGAAAAAATGATCTTGGATCTATTTTCAATTCTTTTGACATATCAGATTGTGTTGCACCCAAGCTTCTTTGTTTTGCAATAAGTTGTAAAATTTTATAAGCTTGTGCTGTAACAGTTCTTGTTGTCTAATCGATTATAATGATCATGATGATGATAATAATAATGGAAATTAGAAATTTTAAGATCCTTGATAAAAAAGATAATTATCGAATCAATTGTAAAATAACTGCATACATCAACTTGTCCATAAATTATTTCTTTCTGGAATTCAGGAGAAGCTCTTATCCTAAAATTTTCACCATATTCATCTTTAATATCTTGTATTGTCATATCATTGACATTAACTTCTTCAAATTTAAATAGTTCATCCTATCGCAATGTAAAAAGATATATAAATAAATACTGCTATCTGATGCTTTTTTAATATAACAATATAAAATGTCAATTTACTATTTTAGAGTTATTTTGTGTGTTTTTTTTTGTTGATTTGGTTGTTTGCTGTTGAATTGTGTTTGGAGTACACACTCCAAACTCCAAATTATTTACATCAACAAACTCCTTCCAACAAAACTCTTTAAAGGAGTCATCAATATTAGGTATTTGGGAAAAGTTCGGTAAGAAAGTATGTTCTATTTTCTTGGAACGTTGATTGAAAAAGTCCTGAACAAATTCCCATAATTTATCAATCTCACAACCTATTGAATTTTACAAATGATATTTTTTAAAAGTAATTTATCGAATTAACTAATATGTAGAAAATTAATAAAGTTTTTTTAAGTAACGATTGAATCCAACCTTCGTTTCCTTCAAAGGCGATTTCCTCTACACAATAAATAATAAGATCGTCAAGCATTTTCAAAATTTCAAAATTTTTATTCAAAGAACAAAAAAAATTGAAGATTTGTTTGATTTTCCTCGTCACACTAAAAAATACATTGATGATGAATCATAAATGATATTACAAATTTGGACAAAATCCAAGAACTTCGCAATGAATTAAATTCGAAAAAAAAAGACAGGCAACATGTAAAAAAGGAAGCAGTGCTTAAAAAGATAGCAGCCAATATGACAATGGGCAATAACATTCCAATTTTATTTTTCAGATGTAATTCCTTCCCGTATTAGAAGTTAAAAATGGTTTCTTTTATCCCTGACATTGCTATTATGGCTATACCTGCTTTAATCAAGGTAATTTAATATTGTTATATCATTCAGTTCTCAAAAATATACTATTGCATAATAAAACTATACATATATACATGTATATATTTGAGAAGATCATACATAATCCTTTAATAAGAGCGTTAGTCATAAGAGCGATGGGTTATGTAAGTGTTGAAATGGTGGCGGTAGATGCATTAGTTGATTCATCAAGACATTCTTTACGAGATCAGGTTCTTATCTACAGTAATTACAGTATCAAAATTATATTTGTATGATGAATCGCTAGCAAAAAGAGAGAGGGAGCAAGAATTATAGATATATCAAAAGATATATTGATCTTATTGTAAGTGTAGGCAAATTAATCAATGTATATTTTGTATCAGGTCCATCAAATGATATTTCATTTAAAATAATAGATAAAGATTGGTGTCAGCTTTGAATGAATACTTTGAGTAAATATATTATTTCATTAGATTTATATTATTTTTATATGATCTAAACATTAAATTTATAAAACTTGTAGATCATTTGGATGAGCTTGAAGCAGAGGCAGTGGTGATTTGACCAGATAAATAATTCTGATGTATTATTAGAAGCAAAAAGAATAAAATGACTTTTTATATGATTTTACATCTAAAATGTAATTGTTAATTTTAGATCTAGTGATCGTTGTTAACGAGCAACTGCAAAGATTTTTATTAAGAGACCAGTGGCAAACAAAAGCTTATTGCCAAATATTTACGTGATCGGTCAACTGAACCGCTGCGGCTGAAGTAATTACATTGTTGCATTATCTGAAAACCAGGAATCACCACCGAATACGATAATTTGGAACCCATTTTATTGGAATGAAATTGTTATTAAATCTTTCAAGTCTTTCAAACCTTTATACATCATTCGTTGCAACCTTGTTATCCTCTGTTTGAATGTTTGAATAGAAGATATCCGGGAATAAGACAAAATTTATTTTCACCGATTTGATAATTATATTAATGAGTACGTGGTATAATATTTGTATTATTTAATTTTATATTTTGTAGTATTTATTATTCATTTATTATTATTTTTTGTTACAAATCCTTATAATAATATTATATAGTAACAGGTATTGCGAAATATTAAATCAATACCAGATTTAACTTGTCATATCACATATCACAATTGAATATATTAAATAAATAATGAGTGATTCAGTAATCTTAAATGATGCCTCCCGTGTGTGTAGGTTCTTTGATATAAATATTATTATAATAAAATTATTAAAACAATAAATATAAAATATTTTTAAAAAATATCTCGAGTTCCAAAACTGTGCTGTTGATTGTAGATAATCAGCAACGAAAGTATTGTTAGCCAACCACCCCAATGTGATATGAAACCTCAATATTTATTTTGATTTTGATTTTTTGATTTTTTGATTTTTTGATTTTGATTTTGATTTTGATCGAGATTAAGATCATTGTTGTCATTTTTATTTTTATTTTTATTTTTATTTCAATTTCGAACGTAATTTTGATTTCGTTCGTATTTAATATAGATGGGCGTCTAAATTGTTTTCACAAAATCCACAAAATTCAGTAAATTATCCAATAAAAAAAAAATTCAATTTCAGCATTTTAGACAATTGAGACCACAATTAATTTATATTTTAGACATTGTCTAAATAATTTAGTTTAGACACCCATCTATAGTATTTAACTAATTGCATGAATATTAAATTTTTTAAAAAAGGCAGTTTTTTTCGCAATATTTATTTAAGAGGGCCCCGAAAAAAAAAAAAAAAAAAGGTTTTGATAATCCCATTTTCTACAATTTTTTATCTTTCAAAAAAATAAAAATAATAAAAAAAAACCAAAAAATGCCTAATAAAAGACCAATCGCAAATACAAATTCCGTAAGCAAATGGGTATGTAGGATTATGTCATATACTTATATATACATGATATCGTAAGAATTAAGTATAATTTCTGTATATAAATTTGAAAAAATTGTAGAAACATGGAGTCCCGGAAATATGTTGCATATGCCTTGAAGGTGCAACTACCGGACAAAATATGTTAATACAATGCAGTCAAGAAGATTGTGAAGTAGTTTGTCATCAAGGTATGATTATCATTATCGTTATTGTTATTGTTATTACTATTGCCATTATTTCTCATATATTGCGATAATTTTTTATTTTTTTCTTCCTATTATAGAATGCTACGGTATCACTAATTTTTCTAGTGAAGGCGATCCTTGGTATTGTGATAAATGCCTTGCAACATCGTCTGAAGTGGTAGCATGTATCTTATGTCCAAAGAGGACCGGCGCATTCCGCCGATTAAAAGAAGAAGAAGGATTTGAAACAAATGGCTGGGTGCATCTAGTTTGCGCATTGTGGATGCCTGGTATGTTGATTGAAAATCCTCAGAAATTAACCGAGGTTAAAATCGACAGTGTGAATGAGTTGAATTGGAAAAAGGTAACAATGAATAATAATATTGGAACTAATCACAGTTTCATCATGTAACCAATGTAAATTTTTTTTAAATTAATATGGTATATTTATTATTCTTAGAAATGTTGCATTTGCCCAAAAGAAGTTTCCAATCAAGGTGCAACAGTTTGTTGTGACTTTTCTGGTTGTCAAAATTGGATCCACATAACATGTGCTCACGATTATAACCTTTTGGAATTGAAGAATAATCCTGAAATGGTTGATCCATATTTTGTTGTAAGTTTTCTTTTATATATATATATTTACATTTCCAATTCAATTAATTAGTTGTTCGTTCATATTTATATATATATATTGATATTTATGCGCTCATAAATATACTTGTAGTACTGCAAAGGACATTTTTCGCAAGCCAATGCTCGTCTTAATGAATGGGTAAAATGGGTTCGGGAGCACCAAACGGTTATAAAGAAAGCTAGAACCAAAGATCAGGCTGGAGGTACAGCAGATTTAAGAAACATTTTTGAAAGTAGTTATACCGAATATCAAAAACACAGAGAAAACAGCATAATCAAAATCAGAAAAAATATAGCACAACAATACTCAAAAATTAATAGCGATAGAAAGAAATTACAAAGAGCAAAGGAACTAAATGAAACATTCCAAGAAATGAGAAATGTCGCAGAAGCTGAGGCAGTCGAATTGTTTAATTATTTAAACCAACTAAAACATCAGGTAAAAATCGTCATTGACAAAATAAAGAAAAAAGACGCACATGAAAATGATGATGACGATGATACCGTTAACGATAATAATGATGGAGATAATATGGCAGTTGATATTGGTCTTATGAGTATTGCTTTTAATGTTGGTGATGATAAGAATGCTGATTTCAATGTTGTCGAAGAAAATGCAACCAATAGTAACGATAGTGGTTACGTTGCCTTTAATTATAAGGAAGTAGATAAACAAATAAAAACTGGAGAAATGGAACAATCAATGGATGAAATTCGAGCTGCAATAAATAGTGTACCAAGTTCAGTATCAGATTGGAATAAAGAAATGGTAGACAGAGCAAAAAAAATTAACGTTAAACTTTTGGATTCCAAAAACATTGAATCATTAGGATTATTAAATGTACAAAAGGCTCTCCTTCAAAGAGAATACGCACAAAAATTAAAGAGAGAGAGTTAGGTAAACATATATCTGAAAAACGATAGCATAAAGTATTCCTCCATCATTTTCGATGAATTTCTTCAAGTAATGAATCGGAATGATCAATGCATTATTTTATGCAGCGATTGGTCCGATTTGAAAGTGTTGCTCCTTCTTGAAACTATAAACAAATTACAAACATTAAGAAATTTAATTAATCAATCGAAATAAATTATTTTATTTCTTTATTTGTATTTATGATGGCGGTCCTCAATAACGTGATTGTAATCTTGACCCCCATAAAATTAACGGTTTCATAATTTTTAATTTTGTAAAATCACATGATCGAAATTACAAAATTATATATCACGTGATTTGTAGTGAAATGCGAATGTCTTTCCTTTTTTGGAATGGCCTTTGCTTTTTTTGGCTATATATAAGAAAATTTTTTCTGTACAAATTGTTCCCCAAAATATGTTGACTCAATTCTCAAAATCTCAATTTCTAATTGCATCTGTCTGATACAATTATTTATATGTTTTTCATGTCTCCATCAAAAAATCACCTGATTGAGTACCACATGCATAATAAGAGCTATCATTCTATAAAAAGATTTTTTTACTATCTGTTTGGGTGAGCCTTGAAACCTTTTTTTTTTAAAGATGGCCCCAAAATTTGATTTTTTCTTTAAAAAAAAATTATTTAAAACAATTGGGGTGATAAATTTAAAAGTAAAGTTCAATAAGGATTTAGCTTTTCTTGTTCTGACCATTTATTTGTTCATAATCTAAATAACAAAGTTGAATAATTAATCCACAGCACAACAAATATTTCCTCCTAGAAAATAAAAATAACAGCAGGTATAATTTATCCATTTTGAACAGTGTTTGTTGAAAGTATTTTCAGTGTAATAATAATAATAATGACAACAACAAAAGATTTTAATTTTTCAAATCCATGTGTGATTAAGGCTCTGAATGAAACGAAATGATATCTGATATGATATATAGATTCAAACCAAATTAAATTAAATCAAGCCATTTATAGATTTGAATTGAACCAAGTTAAAGCAAGATTCACATTCAATGAAATGAATCAAAAGTTAGTGTTGGGTAATTTGGATTGATTTGAATTTAATGATTCTTAGATGATAATAATGATAATAACATTGATAATGTTAATTACACCAATATAAATAATAATGTGTGAAATAGATGCTTATTTCAACTATCCTACATCTTGTACACTCTTTATGAAAACTTTAGAAGAGGCTTAATTTCAAGAAATATAATACATGGTTTCACATGTATCAATAACTCAAAATCCAAAGGGAGGAAAGCTACTCTGGAATTGTTACACATAGTTCCATCAGGAAATTAATTTAGCATAAACTTGCATAAATCTTATGATGCTGATGTAATATCACATAAATCTTACAGTCTTGATGTAAGTTTTACACTTTTTTATTATTAAATTTACAATTGATGCATACAATTTTTTTATACTTTCTAGATGTCAGGAACTTTTCCTTGGAAATCAGGCATAAAAGAAATTATTGAATGGGAACATTCAATCAGGATATCAAATAAAAAACCACTTCATCCAATTCTCAGAATGCTACAAGTGGGAAGATTTTTGCCTTTAGCATGCTATCTTTTTTATGATTATTTATTTAAAAGCATGACAATAAATGTGAACACAAATTTGGCAAATATATTTAGTCTGTGAGTAAGTAAGCAATTGTTGTTATTTTTTCTAATCAAAAACTTGTTGCTTATTCATAACAGTATACAGCATATAAATTTTTTACTTGCTTTTTTATCCACTTCTACCACCCCTGCATCATCAAATCAATCTTGGATTGTATGATAATGGTTCTGTCAAGATGAATATGAGCACATTTTAAATAGTATACAAGTTTCTAGATTATTAAATAGTTATTAAATATTTATCAAGATTATACAATAGATATTGCCACAACGACAATACCATTCTTTCTATTCCTTTTATTATCTAAGTATAAATTTTTGCATCCATTCGAAACTAGACTTTTACTTTTTTATACATATATATATATTTTTAATTTCTATTTGTGAGGCACAGTTATTTTTAGATTAAATGTAAACAACTTGTTACAACGTTACGCACACTACAAGTAATGCATCACGAGTTATAGCATAGATAAAAATCCTTTTATGGATAGATCGGCGTTACACACATTTAATAGAAAGTTCAAAAAAAGGTCAACAATTTATATGTGAAGTGTATTGTAAAATCGAAAAAGTACCACTTAGAAAAGTGGCGCTGCACAGACTATATAAAACCACCTCAAAATTTGCACAAATGTTCTGTTATTATTGTTCTTTCCTGAGCAGAAAATAATTTTTCCTGTGTAGTGATTATATCCATTGGATAGTATCCATGAATATCCATGAATATCCGCAATCATCCAGATATCAATTTTATCTCATGGTTGATCAACAGATATTCAATGGATATTGAGAAGAAATATTTGTGAATATCTGCGAATATCCTGAATATCTATGAATATCCATGATACAAAAAATTTAAAAATAAAAATATTTGTGGTGAAAAAAAAGTTCATTCCTTTAAGGGTAGGCTCCATGCAATAAAGTCACACATATGTTAATTAGTGCTGATCACGGGGTTTTAAATTTTTTAAGAATTCAAAAAACTTGTGACTAGTACAAGTCTTTAACCAATCAAACAAAATTTGCAAAAAAAAACTTCCTTGGTTTTATTAAATATGGTATTTATATTATGAAAACATTTTTTGTACTTTTTATACTCTCTTAAAAAAGTTTTATATTAAGTAAAAAAAAATTTTTTGGTTGCTCATCTTTTTTGCATTCTGCTCATTCTGCCACTACTATTTATTTACAGAATTTTATTGCACCAAAATTTGCAAAAAAATAAAATCAATCATAGATTTTTATCCCTTGTTCCTTAAACCTTGTTTCTATAAATGGAAATTGTTTAGTGAACAAAAATAGGGATAGTAAAGATCTACATCCCGCATAATTTACTTTATATGTGTTACACATGGAGCCTACCCTTAAAAAAAATTTTTAACAATAGTATTAGTGGTGGTATTAATAACGAATAATAATATTATAGTAATAGTGGATGGTGTTAATGATAAATAATAATAATAGTGGTGGTATTAATAATAGTAGTAGCCATTAATAATAAATAATAGTAGATAGTATAATAATAATTATTAAAAAATGAGTAATAATAACATTATTATTATTGAATTAGAGGAAAATCAAGATGAGAACTCTCATGTCAATAACAACCAATTAATTAAAATTAAATTCATTTAATTCATTAATGATTCATTTTTTAAAATTAAAATTATAATTAAATTATTTAATATAAATTATTTAGTTATCATCCTATTTCATGTTAGATGAATTAAAATGGGATCTTTTTTAGCTTGGGAGCGGATTTATTTATTAAAAGATGCTATATATGCAGCATTAGATATTTTATCCAAAAACAGAAAAAATAATCTTCAAATTAGAAAAGATTATAATCGTCTTAATAAAATACTTCTTGAAGAAGATGAGTGGGATTTTATGCTGGAAATGATTAACATATTAGGACCATTTTACAAATCAACACTAATATTGGGAGCTAGCAATTATGTAACAATTAGTTTGATGTATCCTGTGGTTGAAGCTTTAAAAGAAAAATTCAAAGTAGAGACAAATTACGATGAATATTGTGATGAACCAATTCTTGAATCATCAGAAACTGTATTTGATGAATAGAGGTTGAAGAAGACAATGATGATGATAATAACAGTAATGGTAATAGCAGTAAAGATAAATCAAAAAAGAAAAAAATCAATATCAATAAACCACAAGACATGTATAGGTTAGCAGATCAAGTTAGATACAACCTACATAAATATTTAAATTTTTATTGGCCTAATCTACCTGTAGAAGAATTAGTTGCATGTGTTTTAGACCCAAGGGTCAAGAAGCTAAATTTTATAACAAGTCAAAAAAGAGAAGAGGTTTTTGATATATTAAAGAAAATATATTTAGAAATGTGTCCTGAACAATCACCTACTGCAGATACTAATCAATCCACCACAGATTCTAGAATAAAGTCTAAAAAAGTTTATCAACCTTCTTTAATGAAAACTATTTATGGTAAAACAAAAGAAAAAAATTTAAATGAAGTATGTATAAATAAATTCATTCAATTCATTAATAGTTCATTCTTTAAATTAAAATTAAATTATTTAATATAAATTATTTAGTTATCATCCTATTTCATGTTAGATGAATTAAAATGGGATCAAGATCCATTTATCTGGTGGAAAAACCAAAAAAAATAATTTCCCCACATTAGCTAAAATTGCAAGTAAATATTTATGTGTATCTGCTACTTCTACACTGAGTGAATGATTGTTCAGTGATGCTGGCAATACATTGACAGCTAAAAGAACAAAACTCAATCCAATTCTTTTTGAACAAATAGTTTTTTTAAAAAAAAACATGGTCGATGTAGAAAAATTCTTTGATTAATAAATATATAAAATTATCTTTTATTGTTATAAAATTTTCTTTGATTAATAAATGTATTTATTGTTATAAAAATTTTGGATGAATAACAATTTTTTTATCTGACTACACTGTAAGAATTAATTAAAAATCTGTTATACTGAGATTTAACTAGTAAATTCATTATTATTATATTGAGACATTAATATTGATGGATATTTGATGGATATTGGATGGATATTCAGGTATCCGAATATCAAAACTGGTTAACAGATCAAAGATTTGGATATCAAAGTTATTTGAAAATTGAGTATTCGGATGTCAAAATTATTTGATGATTGAGTATTCGGATATCAAAATTTTGTGAAAGGATGATCAGCAAATATCCGAATATCTGACGGATACTACCACTACCTGAGCGGAATTGGATTTTTATTTTTATTAATAACAAAGTTGCTCTAAATTTGTCAGTAACATCCAAATTTGTGATGATCTACATTTTAACTTGATGTTGTTAAATAGTAAATTATAAATCACGGGAAACTGATATATAAATTGGAAATGATTTACGAAGTTACACGCAAATAAAATCGGAAAAACTGATAAAGTGATCAAAACAGTTAAATTTATTCAAACACCAATAAAATAATTGACTCACGGAAATATTGGAAATATAAATATTCCAACATTCTAAAATGTAACGAATTACAAAGTCTCAGAATAATATTTAAACGAAAGAATTTTACATGACTCATGTTGACTA